CCAAAAATTGAGCTAGATCAACTTGTGAATTAACCCAATGAAACCTATCAGAATATATTCGGCATAGTTCAAGATATCATGAATGGTCAATGCCAGACATTTCCAATGGTGGGGGGTGGCTGCCAGACGAAACCGGTACCCCAAAATTAAGCTAGATCAGCTTGTGAGTTAACCCGATGAAACCTACTAGAAAATGTTCGGCATAGTACCAGGTATCAGAAATGGCCACTGCAAGACATTTTTAATGGTGGGGTGTACCTGCCAGACACCCCCTTATAGTCCGCACCCGAAAATTGACCTAGATCAGCTTGTGAGTTAACCCGATAAAACCTACTGGAAAATGTTCGGCATAGTACCAGGTATCAGGAATGGCCACCACCAGACATTTTTGATGGTGGGGTGTACCTGCCAGACACCCCTTCATACCCCGCCCCGAAAATCGACCTAGATCAGCTTGTGAGTTAACTTAATGTAACCTACTGGAAAATATTTGGCATAGTACGAGGTATCATGATTGGCCACTGCGAGACATTTTTAGTGGTAGTGTGCTTCCGCCAATTTTTTTCCGTACGAAACATTTGCATGAAACTCCACTCGGGCCGTCTCGGATTGATTCGACTACGAACAAGAGCAGGCACTTCGTAATGTCGTGACTCTCGAGTATTCTATTAGCTTTACTGACAGTACTGTTTTTATTTACCTACGGCAGGCCTATAAAATCTTACCGATTTATGGGATTTAGGCTACGTCTCTAACTAACTGTGAGCTTCTTGTATGTTTGTTATCAAATGTACTACAACAACAGCTAGTACCCCCTTCTATAGTAGTACCAGTGGTAAATAGGTACATCTATCAAAGGCTAGAGCAAAATAAGCTAAATAATGGGCCTAGTGGAACGGCCTAGTTCCAAGCTGAGTTAGGTCCTACCTGCTAGCCCCCCCCCCACCTTCCGCCAGACTAGGCCCCCTTCGCATGCCATTGACTGAAATTTTGAACGAAATTTAAAACATGAATGGGACAGTGAGTAAAAAAATATTAAATAATAATAAATTAAATATATCACTCAGGCATTAATGAACTTGGCCTAAGCCTTGTAACGTAATTAATATTAAATAATAATAACAATAATAATAATATTAATAACAATAATATTAACAATTATAATAATTATAAATAACCATATATAATTTCGCCATTAATTAACTTAGCCTAAGCCTTGTAATCAAGAAGCACCTACAGTATACTATATTAGGCCTATAATGCCTGCCTTCATTTTTAGTAATTCTAGGCGGAAGCAGGTCAACTCGGCCCCAAGTCAACTCGGCCCCAGTCATCTCGGCCCCAAGTCAACACGGCCCCATGTCAACCAACCCCAATTCAACTTGGCCCCAAGTATATATTGTTATTATATTATTAGTTATTTTATATACCTTTGTATAATTTTTATTAATATCATTTTAATATTATTTTTATTAATGCAGTTTTAATTATTGTAAGTGCATGTAAATGAAACGAAATAACAAAGGCAACGATTTAAAAACACTTTAATTTTGGCTTTGCATTCAAATCTCTTGGTAAATATTCAATAAATGCCGAGTTGACATGGCGCCGAGTTGACTTGGAGCCGAGTTGACATGTGGCCTAGTTGACTTGGGGCCGAGTTGACTCGAATTCGTCATGACATATGTTAAACAATTATCCAAAACCGCGGCCAACTAGAAAATAAAAACGTGCACAGTATGTAACTCAAATTCAAATAGGGCCTAACACTTGTTATTATTCGTGCAGTGAAATCAAATAATACATATGTCGTTTTAAACGACCCATTATTTTAGAATGGTAATGTGTTTTTTTTCCAAAATCAGACAGCGAGCAGCAATCCTGTATCTCAGAAGTTTTGTAGACGTTTATCTTTGGTTGATGACCTTTTGACATCCAGAATTGCGATTTTAGAGTCGAGTCAGTCGAGACAACCTGAGTGGAGTTTCATGCAAATGTTTCGTACGGGAAAAAATCGCGGCCAGCCTGTATTACAGTACATTGACACGAAATGTACATTGTTTTTCTCTCAGAGAGAGAGAGAGAGAGAGAGAGAGAGAGACCACTCACCCTTGCAAGCACCACAAAACGGCTCATTTTTCGCTACCAACTAGACTCGTGCAGACGCATTTATTAGCAGCAAAGCTTACAATTCCAAGCTGTGATTGGTTGATAAACACAATGTGGAATATACAGGCGATTTGCAATCTGATCAAT